GAAACTGTTGAAATGGAACTTTGTATGAAAGTTTCAATCCCGAATAAGAAGTGCTATGCCTCTTAATTGCAACATACATGCATGGAACCTTTCTTAAGGATAAGAATTCGTTCTTCTTATATTTTCTGGATTACTTTCATTAGCTTTGTTTATTTTATTTTTATTTATTACAAGTGAACACCAAATTTTTCACCAAATCCTATCTGGTCTGGAAATAAAAGATTTACATTTCACTGAATTCTATTCTGTATATTTGTGAAAAACATTTTAATCTTCTTGGCCTTCTCTGTATTCAAGTTTTTTTTTAGAAATGTTGCGTTTTCCTCCAGTCATTTTCAATTTTTATAAGGCTGAGATATTTCTTGGTGCACCCATGATTAGTCCGCTGATTTATTATTTGTTGTCATAATCTATCGTTTGAGTCACATATTCAGAGCAAAACCTGGGAACAAACACAGTAGGCTGTTCTCTAGCAATGGTCTCTATCTTTTGTTAGCGACCCCCAGTCGTACCGATTTGGACATTCTTTTATCGCTTCTTTCTTTAACAAACTTGAATTATAAAACATATATAACAAGTTTATAACTAAAGATATTTTACAGATTTTGTTTATTTTTTTTATTTAAAAAGTTCATTGATTTATCAATTTCTATTCATTTATTGATTTTTTTTTAGTTTATTTATTTATCTATTCTATTTTATTATCTATAAGTGTCATTTTTTTTACAACGAAGTAATTATTAATTACTTAAATTAAATATTTCTTTAGTTATTACTTTCGATTCAATAAAAAACATGGCTCACCTAAAAAATCACAAAACTTGGATTTGTTAATTTTCTGCTGAAAATTGGCCCATCGTTTACATGAGCTTTTTTGTGGCTCTTGAGATATGCTATCACTCCTATAAAAATTTCCTTCTACTTACGGGACACCTGTATATTCAATTGTATTTTTATTTAGATTTTCTCAAATATAAATGATAGGTTGAAAAATCCTTACAAATATAAAAACCTACAAACAAATTAATGATAATTTTTTTTTCAAAGTAATTATCGATATATATATTTATATATAGAATAGAATAGAAAATAATTTTATTCTGGGACGAAGTCCCTTTAGAATAACAAAAAAGTACAAAATTAAAATATTATATCTGGCCAAATAAAAAGAAACATACTACATACTATATACAAAATAAAAATAAAAAATCTATAGACAAAACTCTTGAAACCGTGCCAAGACAATTAAAACTATGTACAATGGTAAAATATAAATAGACACTTCTTCTCCAATATTTTTGTTCCATATTTACATATCTAGGTCGCCGTGTCGTTATTTATGCCTATTTATTAAGGCGCTAAACACTAGCTGAAATACTGATCATACAGGCAGGATGGTGCAACATGATAACCTGATAATGTGACGAAGAAGTTAATTAAAACGATAAGCGGCAGTTGATGTTATAGATCCTTTAAAGAGAGGGGAGGTGTTGATCTATAAATCTGGAGGGCAGTGGCTATAGACCGAAGTTTTTTGGCCCCCGGGACCTGGGGTGGGGGGGGGGTGAACAATTTAAATTCAATCAGAAGCAGATGGCGGCCCCCGGGACCGATTAGCCGGCCCCATCCACTGCTAGGTGCTTCCCTTCCTCTCATCCTCATCCTCATCCTCATCCATCATCTTAGCCCCGGCCAACCCTTCCCTTCCCCCCCCCCCCCGTCATCCTCTTGTTCTAATCAATATCGACTCTGGGGATAAATTAGCTTCTCGCATGTCACATCAAAGTCATCTTACTGTATTCATCATGCCTCGCTTTTACCATTATTTAAAAAGGTTCTGAGACTACCATTGTTTAATTTACTATGCAAATCCCTTCCAAGGTTTTCAGGGATATTGTCATAATAATTCTGCTTTAAGAGCTGGTGATAATTTATTGTGGATTGTAAAATTAGAGGAGTTAATGGATTAAATAAGTGAATGTGTAAAATTGATTGCTTTATTTTATTACATTTAATTTTATACAGAGGTTAAATGTAATAAAATAAATTCTATTTGTCTTCTTGTTCATCTTCTCTCTCTTCCTTTATTGGTCCCTTGCCGGCTGTAGTTTTTTACTCCATATTCAGCAAATCAATGGAATGGCAAATTTTCAAACTGGCCAGTCTAGTGAATTTCTCACGCTACATGAGCGTCTACGCTTCAGTAATGGCGGCGTCACAATAACATCTGAGGTATATATGCAGCATGCTCGAGATAACAGCTGTGTTGTGTTTACTTGATTTAATTTAAATTAAATTTAAATATATATATTTTTTTTATTTCTTTATGACATTTACAACTGTATTACATAAATACATCAAGTAAATTTGGACATAATTGATATAATGACATGAATACACTTGCTGAGTAACTACCCAATGGTAGCACTCTAATGATATGACTACATTAGGAGATCACGGGGCCATCTTCTTTTCAGACGCCTCGGAGGGTTATCAGGAATTGAAGAGGAAGCAAGGTTAGAAACGAGAGGGTTGGGATGATTCTGAAGTTTATTATGGAAGGATAGGTATCTGGATTGGGCCAGATCTGAAATTTAAATATTAAGTTTGATGTGTTCCCTAAACAACCATCTTATTTAACTATCAAGAATTACAAAAAAAAAAGAGTTGAACTTTGAAAATCGAAGTGATTCCAAATAGTCTGAGACCCCTTGCAAAAAATTAACATTATTTGATGAAAAATTTGAAGCATTTTTAAAAAATATTTATAACTTTTCTATTTAAAAATGAGAGTCTGCCAGTTGGATCTTGCTACCTGTAATAATAGCGGCTGATTTAATGAATATTAGATCAGTAACTTGAGGATCGAAATAGGAAAATGATGGCGAAAAATGTGGGAAAAGTTTTTATTTTTTTTTAACTTGCATAAATAGATAGAGAAAATACCTTTATTCTGGGACAAAGTCCCTTTAGAATAACAAAATAGAACATAATTAAAATACTACATCTGGCCAAAATAAAACAATAATAAAAAAGAGAAAGTACAGAAAATATTAGTTAAACAAGCTATATATATAAAAAAAAATCTATATACAAAACACTTAAAACTATGATAAAACGCTTAAGACTATGTACAGTAGGAAAAATTATAATTATACTCTTTTGAAAAATAAAATAATAAAAAATACATTGAGTTCTTCTTTAAAATGAGGTGTGTTTCTGCTAACAAAGAAAAGACAAAGCTGACAATATTAAATGTCAGTGTATTTAAATAATGAATAATATGTAGACTCATCATTGTCAAATGGTAACTATAGGTACAGATTTAATTATATACGAATAAAAAATAATTAAAAAAACAAACAACAATAAATGCGGCCAGTGGCATTAAGAGCAGGAAGTTATTGTAATATCTCTAGTGAAGTTCACGGTATAGAATAGTACTATCGTTTGATGATGACTAGAAATGTATAATATCGAAAGTTTAGCAAGTATCTGACATATGGGCTCTAACATATATAAAACAAAATTTCTAAAGCGCGCCATCAAGAGAAAATATTTTAAAGCCAAATTAGCCAGATTTTTTCGAACTTTAATATTTGTTTGTCAATGCTCCATACTTTGTTACAAATAAAACCATCCATAATGACCTTAATGCTTCAGATCTGGCTGATTTTTACAATTTTATCAAATTTGTTAAAAATAAATAAATGGCTCTGAAACTTTTTACAGCCATAATAGCAAGATTTAGTCTATCATTAAGTTGAGATTCACCTCAAGTTGCGTAAAAACATTAGGTGATTTTATACCTAGTCACCTGAAATACGTGTTTTCAGCAGGAATGACTACAATAAATTGTTTCAAAGCTTTAATTTTTTTTTTCCATTACCTGGGATGTATTGTAGTAATGATAAATGCATAAATACACTTTGTATTTATTAAAAGTAACGATCTTTGGAATATTTACCATCTAAAGTAATAATGGAACTTTGGAATTTTAACGCAAGTCTCTATTATAGGAATTGTTCCTAATAATAATTACATAAAAATCTATATTAATAAAATAAAGTTTTTGTCTGTACATTGAATAGAATCAACCCGTTATATGATATCTTTCCGTTTCATACATTACAGACACCAAATCCACTTTCAAAAAATTTGTGGTCTGTCTTTATGTCCGCAATGCAACGAAATTTTGTCAGGGGTAAGCTCAGCAATGGCTTATTGCAGACTTTTGAAATTTTGACATTATATTAAAGTTTGCTTGACTTAAAACATAGGCTTTAAATGAAAACAAAATATTGAATTAACCAAAGTTATGAATTCTTGAGTAATTTGTCTGGAGATCTCGGTCAATGTTGATAATCAATGTTAATAATAAACATATGTTTATGGGTTAAAGAACATCTACATACATAAAAAAGAAGGTTTTGTCTGTACATTGAGTAGAACCAACCCGTTTCATAATATCTTTCCGTTTTATATATTACAAACACTAAATCCACTTTAAAAAAATATTTGTCTGTCGGATGTCCGCATTGTCCAACGAAATCTTGTCAGGGGTAAACTCTGCAATGGCTAATGGTAGACTTTTGAAATTTTTACATTACATTTAAGCTTGTTTGACTTAAAATATAGTTTAGTAAAATATAACAAATTTTAACTATAGAGCCGTCAACGACGGTTATATCAGCTAGTATGTTATAAAGGATGTTTCCATATGTTACACTTAAATATTAGGATTGGAAACATTAGTTGGACACTTTTCAATAGGAATCACTTTGTATAATATAAATATTGATAAAAACAGTTTTATTACTACTTTAGATGATAAATATTCGAAAAATCATTATTTTAACATTTCTTTTAAATAAATGACCTCTCGAGGTCTGTTATTACTTCTTTAATACTTCCCTCTAATTAAAAAAAAAATTCACTAAAAGCCTACCAATTTGCTCAAGTTGTGATTATTAGATAGATGAAGTAACAAGTCCTTCATAATGTTTGTAATTTTAGAGACCATTCAGGTAAAAACGAATTATTACTTGAGTTTCTAAAGAGGCATTTTGACCAGGAGCGGTAAGATGTCTGTTTGGACAGAACGGACACTGTTTGCGGGGGCGTGGCAAATCGCTGAGTACGGTAGCTGTCGATACGAGCAGTCATAAAGCGGTAGCGGTCGTAAACCAGCCGTTCCCGGTAAGCAGTGGACTGCTGCTATATATCACCGCTGTCCCCGCGTCCTCTCAGGTAAGCAGTGGCTCCAGTTCCCACGTTCAGGCCTTCGCTGTGGATCGCTTCTTCGGAGGTCATGATGGACAAGAAGATTCTGATGAGAGGGTAGGAAGATCTTGATAACATTAAAAAATCATAAGAAAGGTTATGAAAAAATAATAATTCACTCGATCAGCCAAATTAAAGCTGCCGCATTTCAACATCTAAAAGATATCTTTATCTCAACTTTCAATTGACAACAAATTACTGATCTACAAGACAATCCTGAAATCTATTTGGATCTACGGATTTGAACTTTGGGGGACAGCAAAATTCTATAACATCAAACGCATTCAATCCTTTCAATCCAAAGTCCTCCGAACAATAGTCGATGCTCCGTTCTATGTAACCAACAAAATCCTACATCATGAACTTAATATCCCATTTGTCCTTGACCTTATCCCTGAAAATTTTTCAAAATTCCATCAGAACCTTATCAATCATCCAAATCCCCTAGCCCAACCCCTATCTAGTTCCACTCATCTCTACAACCTTCCTCGAAGGTTGAAGCGGCAGTGGCCCAGTGATCTTTTATAGTATTTATTTTGGAGTTCTGGCAATGGCCAGCGCTCTCGCTCAAACTCCACCGACTTTAGCACCTATGGGGCTGGCGGTTGAGAGAGTAGCGCAGGTATTTGGGTTCCCCGCCTGATTGTATATATTGTATATAGGTATGACTGTATTTTTATGTTTTTAATTTACATATATTTAGGTTATTTTATTATTTATATAGTTTTTATTTATTATTATTTAGTTATTAATTTACTTTTGTTAATTTTTTTTTGTTTTGTATATACGGTGTGAATGTGTTCATTTATCAATATAATTATTGTCCCCGTGACAGAATATTATATGTCTAAATAAATAAATAAAAAAAAAATAGAAAAAATAACTTGAAATAGATATCTAACAGATGATTATTTATAGTTGACTCTTTATAGGTGGCTAGATGTTTTAAAGACCTGCTATACCAGATATTTTAAAAATGACTTGAATCGAATATCTAGAGGACACTTTTTCACGATGAAAACTGGATAGCCTGCTCGAAATAATAATGTGGCATAAGCAGATCTAGGGGGAAGAGAACTTTTGGGTGGAAGCCTTCTTCCAAAAAAAAAGGTAAAATATTTTATTATTTATTTATTTATATTAAGCGAAGACGTTGAAACTATAAAACTAAATACGACAACGTTAATGAAAGCCGGTAAAGAACTAGGACTCGAAATAAACGTGGATAAAACAAAATATATGGTTAGCTGCAAAAATGGCGATACTACTGGTGATATCGATATAGATGGTAATATGTTTGAACAGGTAGATAAATTTAGGTATCTAGGTTCTACGATAACTAGAAAAAACGAAATTGAAGAAGAGATTAAGGTTAGACTGAAGGCGGGGAATGCTTGTTATTTTTCTGTGACAAAACTACTTAGTTCGCGCCTCTTGTCCCGAAACTTAAAAATTAGAATCTATAAAACAATTATCTTGCCTACAGTTCTTTATGGATGCGAAACTTGGCCGCTTACATTAAGGGATGAGCAGCGTCTTAAGGTTTTTGAAAATAAAGTATTGCGTAGAATATTCGGACCGAAGAAGGATGAGTTAACCGGAGAGTTCAGACGGTTACACAACGCCGAATTGCGTGAGATGTATCCGGGTAATATAATTGAGGTAATTTCATCGCAGCGAATCAAATGGGCTTGTAAAGTTGTTGGGCTTAGTAACGAGAGAATTCCTAAAAGGTTAATATTTGCTGTGCCGAATGGTAAGCGTCCGAGGGGAAGACCGAAGCGAAGGTGGGAAGATTGCATTAAAGCCGATCTGAAGAGACTGGGTTTGGACGGCGAACGGTGGAGGGAGGTGTGGAACAAGCGATTGGTGGTGTCGGCATCGAACCTTCGGGTTCGCTAAGCCTTATTATTATTATTATTTATTTATATGATATTTACAACTGTATACAAAAAATACATCTAGTAAATTCGCACATGGATATAATGACATGAAACACATGTTGAGAAACTACCCATTGGTAGCACTTTAATAATATGTCTATATTAGGAGATCACGTGGCCATCTTCTTTTCAAACGCCTCGGAGGGTTATCAGGAATTGAATAGGAAGCAAGGTTAGAAACGAGATGGTTGGGATGGTTATGAAGTTTATTATGGAAGGATAGGTATCTGGATTGGGCCAAATCTGATACATAAGGAACATTAAGGTCATTATGGATGATTTTATTTGTAACAAAGTAAGGAGCATTGAGGATTTTACGAAGGATTTTGGATTGTAAGGATTGGATGTGAGAGGAATATGAAGGTTTGGTGGAGCCCAATAGCTCAACTCCGTAAGTCCAAATAGGCCTTATTATAGTCATGTAAATGAGTCTTATATAATTAATTGGGAGGTTAGAGCGTTTTTCTAGTAAGTGTTGAAGTAGTCGGAAACGTCGAGCTGTTTCTTGTCGTTTCAGTCTGGTATGAGGATTCCAAGTTAGACGTTTGTCCAGATGGAGTCCTAGGTAACAGGTAAAATATAACCAGGTCTTATGAAAGAAATATAAAAAAAAAAAAATATCTATGGTTTTTGTTATTAGACTTAGTATGACTACAATAATCAATTACCCGTATTTAGTTTTTTTTACTTCTTTTAAAATAATAATAGTCATTAGGAAAAAAAATACCTTTCGGACTGCAGTCCTCCAAAATTAAATCCTGCATCCGTTAGTGTCATATGGTAATAATATATGTTCACTAGTAGGCCCGTGCGAAAAATTCGCACAGCATATTGTTATCAAATGCCAAATTAATAAGAAAATTAAAAATCAAAAGCTAAAGAAATCAATTATTACTTTATCGATAAATATAATCGACAAAGGTAACAAAAATTAATTTAAATCCTCATTAATGCTTGGAACCAACATGTTTACAAATTTCAATAAGCTACTTCTTTTCTAAAAATTGTCGGATTTCGATGATTTCTTTTTCTTTTTGTAGGGAATTTAGTAATCTTTTATATAACCATAGTCATAACCCAGGGGAAAATGTGTAATTTTTCAGTTATTCGCAAATAAAATTTGTTTTCTTTCACATTTGATTTTGAATACGTCTCATTATAAAATATGATAGGTTTGCCAAAACCATTTGGGAGAAAACCTCCTAAAGGCCACTAATTAGGGTAAGTAGTTATTTACCTGCCCTAGGCACTTCCTCAGGTAGCGTTATAAATTTACTCCTTTCATAAAATTAAGTTGGTTCATTTCTCAGTAAATACTATGAAACTTATTGTGGCTAAATTGGATCCAAATTTTCCATTATTGAATTTTACAAGAAATATTATTGTTTATGAAAATATATGTTTGATTAATAACTATAGGCTCAGACTTCAGAGGAGAGAGAAGATTCAAATAAAAGTATAAATCGTTTCGCCACCGCAATAATTTGAATCAAAAGATTCCTTCTTGTTAAAAGATACCCGCAGTTCCTTCTTGGTATTTTCCTGTTCCAAGTCTTCAGAACCAAAAATGGCGTCCAAACATCGCGGATTGACGACTTTAACTTAGGTTAATTTTTTGGTTACTGAAAATCAGCATTTGGCTTAATTTCGTCATAGTTGGTCTTTTATTAAGGGTGGATAGTCAGAGAATAATAAAACATGGAAAAGTATTGAAATCTAATTGGCTTAGGTAATAAAAAACACCAGTAAAGTCAATGTTTTTAACACAAAAATTTTTCAAGTTGAAAATGAAGCGTCGTTTATAATTAAACGGCCAACAATAACGCAAAACTTTCTAAAATAAAACATCCGGGGAATATATTTCTCCTTCTAAAACACTGATTACTTTTTAAAATATTTGAAGCAGTTCCGTAGAAAATGAACTTAAGTGGCAGAAATGCGGTACTGGCGTATGTGCCTGCAGGCCTCTACCACACCATTCAGTACTCATAAATGGCTTAGTTACAGTGCTATAACGTTTTTGTACATTATATTGATTGTACTAACGAACAAATATTAATACAATAATTTATTGTTTAAAAAAAATTTTTTTTTTAATTTATTATTATTTTTTTAATTTAACTTCCTTTATTTTATACGAAGATAATTTATAAAATTATACTAAAAAATTATAAAGAAATAATTAGTTTTTAGGAAAACACTCATTTTTTACATACGACCTTTTGCACTAACAGTAGCGATTTGCATATTCAGTATGCACTGGAATTTTTTTTTTTTTTGAACTACGAATCATCAAATATGGAATCTGAAAATGGGGAACTTTTTTGCATATTATTTGCTGAAAACCAAAACTCGTGAATATCAAGTCCGTATATGTTAAGGGATTACTGAATTTCCGAAAACGGCTTCTTTCAGAGATTTTATTCTCATACGAAAAAATTTAGACCTTATCATATAGATATTTTTTAGCTAATAGAAATGGTGAGGAAGCAATACTGACCTTACATGGCAGACTTTTTTTTTTAATTGAACTTCCTTTATTCTATACGGAGGTCGCTGAAGAAGACCTGTATTATAAAAATTATATAGTTATAATAATAAATAATTCAAAAATATTTCGCTGAATATATTGAATTTTTTATTTAGCGTTTGCAATTTAACACTTCGTTTTGTACACTTACTGATTCTTAGAGGTAAGTTAAATTGTATATACTTTCCTGGAAACGACTCTAAACTAAAATGTATACTTAATCATGTGTACATATAATGAACAGTTGCCGGGTAGTTTAGTAAATCGCATATATTACTAATAAAAAAATTAATTCCATTTGTTTATTTCCTTTATTTTGTTCGAAGGTTGGGACATATCATAAAAAATAGGAAATTTTAATATTGAATGCATTATTCTCTATGCACAAAAAAATATGGAAAGGGCAAAGCTGTATGTTCTTCTTGGCAACCGGAACTAATTGTTAGTATTTGGTATCGAAATAAGAGAAAACGCGAAATTTAACTCAAAAATGGGAAAAATACATTGAACAAACGAGGAAGGAATTGCCAAAATCTCGGAACAGAAAACAAGATCAGGATCCATTATATGGCTAAACGAATATATAGTAGACAGATGAA